AGAGTAGCTTCTAAATAGCATACCTAATTCAAGATTAGAGTGCAAAAACCATTCCCAGTTTAAGACCAAAATGACCAAAATCCATACTATATTTCTGACAAAAATGTCTTACAGACTAAAGGGAAGTATCATGAGTAAATGCATTTCGAAGTGTGTTGATTGTAATGACTGATACACGTAAAGACAACTTTTAAAATTAATTAGCCCTTTCTCTTTTATAATACGTTCAGTACTACACCTCGCCTGGACGAAACACCCCAAGCTCTGGTAACTGAGCGGATCAGTGCGGCGCAAAGCGGCGCATTAGCACAAAATCCCCCCCACCCCGGGACTTCTCATGCACAAGTTTTCAAAACCCCAGCTTTTCTCAGACTTTGAATATCCGTTCGGAAACGAAACACTATTTCCTTCTGAGAAATAGCCACTCGTTCGTCCTATAACCCAATCGGGAGCCCACAAGCTATAATAATAGCTGGGAAATTAGTGATATAAGCAACGTACCCATGCATTCTCTGTAATAGCGTGTTAATACATGCTTTGAAATGAAATAAATGATGGGTATAACTTGAGTCTTAGAGATTTTGATCTGAAATTTGGCAGAAAATGTCAATACCTTTGAGACTGACTTGATGAATGTTTCGAGAAAACGAAATATGAGAAAAGTTCCTACATGTAAATAGAGTAATGAATGATTACACAAACAAAATATAACAAAATTACATTAAATAATTAAATAATTCGTATAGCTCAAACATTAGATCTTTTCTTCTGATATCTAGTGAAGAGCATTCCTATATGACTGGTATAAACCCAGTCATTTTTTGTTTGGTTTCGTTAAATAATAGCGGAGAAATTTGCAGTTATGTGCAACGTGCCCATGCTTTCTCTGTAATGGCGGTCTCATTCATGCTCTATATAATTTAACAAATATTTTTTTCCTAGCTTGAGTATTAGAGCTACAGATCTAAAATTTAGCAGACATCATCTCTGCTTTATTGACTTTCAAACTAGCGTCTTTGAGCATGATTGCCTAAGTCTAAATAATTGCATCATTTTTCGTGCCACGCTACGCGGGCGATAGCTCAGTTGATAGGACGCAGGAGTGCAGTATTGGTTTACCGTCTTGGGGTCTCTTGTCCAAATTCGGCACAAAGAATTTTTTCCTCTTTCTCTTTTCCTTTTATTTTTGCTGAGGATGTACAGGGTTTATCATTTTTCAAAACTTTGTCGTAGTTTTCTTGCAATTCTCTCAGCGCGAGGATAACATGTTAAAAATAATCGTACGGAAATTTATATCTGACACAACTGTCTCTGAGAACTAAAGTGGATTTTTTACTTCTTACCAGTAGTATGATAAGGTTACCAGCGATGTTTGCGTTCCGTAAATGCAAGGTATTCTTGAGAGGTTGTTTCATTTTTAAGAGCCGCCCTCTGTAAATATCAACTATGGTCATTTGGACGAGAAAAAATCAAATTCTTCAAACTTTCTCAGATGAATGGTCTAGATAAGTGATTCACAAAAGTAGAACTTTCAGTCCAATTCGATTTGTATTTTAGCGCTGGGGCCACCATCGTGGTTTTGCCCCTCTGAGAGGGCTTTCAGCGGCCATTTTAGGGCACATTTTTAACAACTTGCCATACAAAGAAAACGATATAAATCCGGGTAAAAACCCTTTATTCGAGACAAGCAAGTGTTTCTTGTTACATTGAGAGGCTGTTTTGCCAATTTGATTATCATCTGATTTTTTTACAGAATTTTAAATTTCGTCCCTTTCAAACTACCCTTGAAGCGCCATAAAAAAGGCGAAATTTAAAGGAAAATATCGCCAAAAGTACATAGAAGAAGTTTAAGCTGTGCTTTTGTCAACAAAGGCCGCCGTCCTAATTAGCATAATAACGTGAAAATAATATTCCACTTACCTCGCGACATGTCGACAACTGGATGTTCCACGATACCTCATGTCATATCATCAGTAGGTTTCAGTCAAATTTTCGATAAGTGTACGAAATCACTCTGAGACATCACAACGGTTAAGCAGATTTCAAGTCTCCAAAGCCCGCGTCATAACATCTATCAATATTATTTGTCTTTCGTCTTATAAGCCATCGTTCATAAGAAGTTTAACAATTTGCTGAGATCCTGAATGACCCAGAAGTCAGCAGCCTTTAAAATCCTCCTCTTAATCGAGGATTCTCATCAAGAACTCGTTTAAGCTCAGTTCTGTTTTGATCTGTTGTGCACCCGCCATTATTCCACAGATTGCGTTACATTTATCAAGTGCACATTCCAACGGGTAGGGGTAGGGTGGGTAGGAAGTGAAGATGTAACCGGCGTTAAAGCCATTTTACGCATTTCTGTGGTTAAACCTAGTAACTGGCTTTCTCGGAATAATTTGGATATGAGTTTCTGCTTGGAAATTTGAGGCATTTTGTAGGGGTATTTTTGCAGGGTAGGTCGGGGCGTAGGGGGTGGGTCGTGCATTGTATTAAAAAAAGAAAAACAAGAAAACAAGAAAACGATAGACAGTATCAGGTCAAAAGATAATGATCTGTATATAATCTTTTGATCGGGTTTATCAGTTCATCAACGAGGCCCTATTAGGAGTTTTCGGGATGTTGGATATTTGGGTAAAAATTAAGAGGATACACGAAATTTAGGGGAACAATTAATAGGGTAGAGCATTTTTAGATCAGCTAAAACGGGACATTAATTGAGATGGAAATCGTTAAGCTGGATTTAACAGGATACAAGATATTTCAGCAGGACAAAAATTAGGATAAGAGATACACCGACCCCCTTCCCTCTACCCCCCTCCCCATTTCTACAATGGGGCCTCAACAATGGTCTGCTATTTAGGATAAAACAAAAGGATGCCAACTGTTATAAACATTTATTCTGGACTTTTAGTACTTATATCACGGTGGAATATAAAAGTTTTGTATCCGATTTTAGGAATTTGAGGCTAGGTTACGCAGCTCCTTGTTAGTAATTTTTTAAGCCCACACTTATTACCCTGAATAGATAGATAAAGACGCGGCTGGAGAAATAAATAGAGAATTAAATATGTCCTGGATTCTGTACCGTTAAACACGAACCTCTTACATGACAACCTTTGCGTCTTTGCAAAGAGATCGAGGCACAGCATCCCACACTATATTTGCATTTTCATTTACTACACATAGAATACGGATAGAATTCCAATAAAAAGCCTCTTACTTGATTTTTTTGTTCAGCATTATACTTGTGTCTTCCGCTGACCGAAATGCCATCAAATGCTGCGAAAGGCAACAGACCGACAAGTAGTGCGCAAAAAGTAATGGTGAGCGGCGTTTTATTGAAACTCCTTTTTCTAAGCCGTTCCACTTTTGCATCAGATAAGAAAATGCTCAGAAAATTACTGAAGAACAATTTACAGTGCTGTTCATGTCGACTTGTTCCTGAAATAGAAAACCTTTTTGACAAGGCCAAAATATGCTATAGCGACAATCGTGGTATTCACCCGGTCCTAGAAAATTCTACTCATCCAGTCCCTGCTGAAGAAATTAAACCCAAAGACTGGGCCCTGAAAGTGACGAAAAAGGACACTCGTTTCAGTGAAAAACAAAAAAAACACCCTGAAGAAAAGTTTTTCTCGGGACAGGAGACGGCCATAAAGTCGAAGCAGTTACTGTAGCACAAAAGATGAGGCACTCAAGAGATGAGGCCTGAATTTGGCGGTTCACCTTAGATGAGTTCCTGACTCCTCACCACGTTCAATCCTTCTCCTCCAGAATGGCTTCAAAGCTCAGAAACAGACAGAAGGTCCTCCAAGAAGACACGATAGCCGCTGAGAATCAAGCTGTGCTTCGCTTGATATATACGCGAGTATTTTAAAGCGCCCTACACAGAGTTGAGAACTAGTCTTGTGCAGACATGCAGCTGTGCTCCATCACAGAACTGAACGACATAAGCGGCTGTGGGGTGTCTTAGGCTCATAACGAACGGTGCCTACTAAATACAAACGTGTTTCCGCCAGATTAGGAAAACGTGGGAAAAGTAGATCTTAGCCAGGGTTATTGGAATCCACAAAGAAAACTGGTGGTAGTCATCAATTTTTCCGAGATAATTAGCCTTGAATCTCGAAGAAAACTGCTGATGGCAGAATTTTTCTGAAAAAAAAGGTAAAGATATTTCTTCACAGATTTTCCAAGAGTCCACCTTTACATGCAGAAAACTAAACACATCAATAAACATCTTTAAACTACATGGTAAATGGTAACATAAAAACCACTTTTGGTATGCTTTCAATAACAAAATCGTCGCAACAGCGCTTTTAGCGTCCCTGGACAGCACTCCATTGGCTTAGCCAAAATACAGTCTACATAGCTACACAGCCAAAAACTAATCACTTGTTGATTGGGCTTGCCACTTCCATTTCATAACATAAAATCTAGCTGTAATCACCCGTTTTCAAAAGTTAAATGAGTTGTTTCATCCGTCCGTCCGTTATTATGCTAATTAGGGCGGTGGCCTTTGTTGACAAAAGCACAGCTTAAACTTCTTCTTCTAACATTTTACAGTTTTAACTGCCCCAAAATTCTATTGCATATTTTTACAGGTGAGACATTGCTCTTTAAGTGGAGGGTAGTTTTAGGATCTCAAGTGATGTACTTTTGGCNGGCCTTTGTTGACAAAAGCACAGCTTAAACTTCTTCTTCTAACATTTTACAGTTTTAACTGCCCCAAAATTCTATTGCATATTTTTACAGGTGAGACATTGCTCTTTAAATGGATGGTAGTTTTAGGAGCTCAAGTGATGTACTTTTGGCGATATTTTCCTTTAAATTTCGCCTTTTTTATGGCGCTTCAAGGGTAGTTTGAAAGGGAAGAAATTTAAAATTCTGTAAAAAAATCAGATGATGATCAAATTGGCAAAACAGCAGAGGGCGGCTCTTAAAAGTTATTTTGTACCAAACCCTAGCGCAGTTCCTTCACTGACAAGTGTCTTTATAACCTACAGATAAACGAGGCAAAGAAAAAGCAATTTGAAGTCTCAGAGGAGGAGATCACTGATTTGGAAATGGCTGCAGCTGATGTGAAGCGTGCGTTAGACGCATGTAAGACATATCTGGACGGAGCCGAGAACGAATTCAACTTGCTGGAGTCCGACATAAACTCAGAAATCAAGAGCTACCAAATGAAAACTGCTGCAGAAATTACACGAGTTGGGGCGGGATTCATGATTGCTGGAGGTACGCTTATCAATATTCAAGACAATGTATTTGACTGTCGTAGGTGACCCACATCTTACAAAACAATTTACATTTCATAACCCTCTGTAACCGATCACAAAAAATGGATCAGGAGACAAACAATACACGAGTTACTATAGCGTAAACCACTTTTTCAGAAAAGGTGCCCCTTTGGTTTTCCTTTTATGGAAAAAAGGTGCTCGTGTCACAAGCACTGCATCACTTTTCTAAACCCTTGAAGTGATTTGAAATTAATGAACACCAAGTTTTAACAGAAAAATAATTTATAAATTATTCATTGTAGTTTGCAACTGAGGCTAATCTCTTTTTCTTGATATTCCACCGCATGAGCCACCGTTACAAGCTAGTTGCAGTCCAATTCCGAGAATATGAAATACGAATATGGCCTATTCGATTGATTTCGTGCAGGCTCTAGTTACTAAGCCCCCTCCCAAAAAGTTGTCCACTTATGCTCTTACATGACTAAGAATATTTCCTTCCAATTCTATGTCATTATTGCGGAAAGTTTTCCAAAAATTCTACAGCAATCGCATTAAAAACGAAAATCTGATGGCCGAAAGTTTGTCATAGAGGATTGAAACTGTAAGCGACTCTCATCTTGCAGTCCCTTGTGGCCCGTTAAGCCCTGGCCAAACGGACTCGCTGGTAGACGCAGTTTGAAAACTTGGATTTACTTGCGACTGCGTTCGGCTAGGCCTTGCGTTGACTTGCGATGACGACTTGCGCTCACTTTGGTCGAGATCAAATTTGCACGCAAGTTGACGCAAGTTTTTCACCGTTTAGCCACCCAGCCCAAGTCAACTCAAGTTGAGTGACGTCCATTTGTTGTTATAGCAACCTAGTAACCTATCCGATACATCCTTGAAAGCCTTCAAATGGATTTTTGCGACTTGTGCACTTGCGAGGAAACTTGTGAGTCCGTTTGGCCACCAAACGAAAGTCTGTATGCAAGTTCAACTTGCGGCTACTTGCGAGTCCTTCTAGCCAAGGCTTTGCTGTGGAAAGCATGACTGCTCGTGCGTTGCTTTGTCTTACAAGCGACTGCGAAATGAGGCTCGCCCTAGATTTCTTATCGTTTCTAAAGTGGTGAATGGCTTCACTCTCCTCTACGAAGACGTGTAACCGAGGATCGCTGGTAGTGGTCAGCCAGAATATCGTTCTATGTACTAAAAATCTTACGATTTTACTTTTGTTTTCTTTCGTCTTTAAACCTTAGCCGATAAGATCAAATCTGATCCAAAGCATACATGCAGGAACGTTGTTGACTGTTGCCAGTGCAATTCAGTTCCGGGTCGCTTGAGTCACAGTTAGAAACTGATCTCGGAATTAATTCATGTTCTCGATGATTATTGCTTTATTAGCTCTTGTCGTCCCCACTGAAATACTACAGCTTTCCCTGATGGAACTTGCCGAGAAAATTGGATCAAGTGGTGTTGCAGGTGGGTTGACAGTAGTTGGTACTGTACTAAAAGTGACGTCGCTTTGCCTCCAGCTAGCATGTATTATGCAGAACGGCAAAAAACTGCTCACGTCTCACCTTGACACTTTGGAAACTAAATTGCGGCTAGTAAACACTGTTTACGAAGTAAAGAAAAGAGTTATAGAGGAAGCAGTGACCGGAAGAATGAAGTAGAAGCATTTAGAGACTGGTGTCATGAGATATATATACATATATATTAATCTACTATTAGAAGCGAGAAAGAAAGTGTTCCATGAGCATATTAGATTTTCATATCAGCGAAGACTACTCATTAGGAAACTATAGCACATTTGACTTTTGTAAGATGAAAATGAGGCCCCCATCTCTGGTATTTTGTCTCGCGAGTAGCCTATTGATAGTCTTTTTTTTTTTTTGCGAACCGCAGTATCCAATCCCGTTAAGTCAACTTTTATACTCGAGAGAGGGATGCCAACGCTAGGATTAAAAATCAAATTAAGTGTTCCGTAGTAAGCAGCTTTTGAGTTTTAGAAATATTACTGATGATACGCAGAAAGCTGTTAACTTTTTTAGTGAGTTGCGGGCCGTATTTCAGTACATGCTCATTGCACTGTCTTTGATGGCATTCAATTCCGCTGGCTTTGGTCGCGTAGTTAAACTGATTCTTCTCTAGTGCAAAGAGTCAGTTTACACTTTGAGTGCGCGTCTTTCCTTTTGGCAAAGCCCTGAAGATTAAGAGCAGGTAGGTGGTGGACGTCGACGAAACAAGACGGAAAATAGTTTTCGTAGACGAACGAAATGCTCTATCGGTTAATTGTACTACTGAAGGTGAAAAGAAAGGTTTGGACAGAAACATTGTTGGTCACAGGAAATTGTTATTTTCGTTGTAGATACCTTTCGCGTCACCATTATCCGACTTAACGTAGTATATGCAATGTTCTCACCACATCTTTAGATCTGAAAACAGCCTACTGCAGAATCTGAGGGAACTTAAATATACCAGTCCGGGATCGTTATCAGATTTGATAACCTCGACCAAAACAAACCATTAACCAATCGCTGCGCAAGTTTTCGTTCACGTGACATTATTTGGTAG